CGTAGTACTCCATTTAGGCTCTTTCCATAATTTGGCTATTGTTGAGAGTGCTGCTATGAACATTGGGGTACAAGTGCCCCTATGCATCAGTACTCCTGTGTCCCTTGGATAAATTCCTAGCAGTGCTATTGCTGGGTCATAGGGTAGGTCTATTTTTAATTTTCTGAGGAACGTCCACACTGCTTTCCAGAGTGGCTGCACCAATTTGCATTCCCACCAACAGTGCAAGAGGGTTCTATCTGGGTTAATTTGACTGATAGGGTGGTCTGTCGGGGGGTAGGGGGATATTTCCTCTTCCTGCATCATTCCTCCATAGACATCCTCCCTCAGTCAAATAGAATGACCTATCCAAAAGTAGAGGATATTCTTTGGTCAAGAGTACAAGAATGGTAGACCTCCTTTGCTGAAATGTCCAAGCTGCCTCTAATGTGTACTGCAGTATTATATTTCTTTTCATAATACTATTCCCTTTTGCAGACCAAAACCCAGAGATAACAGAGTATCTATTTGCAGATACATTTCATCCTTCATCTCACAACAGCCACTCAAAGTGAAGAATGGAAGAGTAGAGGGAGTTACAAGAAAAGTGATAATATGTCAGGGTTAGATAAAGGACTAGTAGAGTTTAATTGGGTAGGGTTTTGTTAGGCAGAGATAGTGGGAGTGGTGAGAGGGAAAGGGAAGATGATGTTTCTGGCAAGAGGAACAGTAAAAAGCAAAACTGCAAGGGCACTTGGTTGGCTTAGTTGGAAGAACATGCAACTCTTGATCTCAGGGTCATGAGTTTGACCTCAATGTTGGGTATAGAGATTACTTAAAAATAAATACATTTTTAAAAATTTTTAATGTTTATTTTTGAGAGAGAGAGAGACTGATGGAGTGTGAGAGGGAGAGGAGCAGAGACAGAGGGAGACACAGAATCTGAAGCAGGCTCCAGGCTCTGAGCTGTCAGCACAGAGCCCGATGCAGGGCCCGAACTGACAAACCACGAGACCATGACCTGAGCTGAAGTTGGACGCTTAACTGACTGAGCCACCCAGGTACCCCAAAAATAAATAAATTATTTTTTGAAAAAAAGTCAAAGGTACAGAGGTGGGAAAGCACAGTCGATGCTCAGGAAATGTGGGTAGCCTTGCTAGGCTGCATCTCAAAATGCTAGCACAGGAAGGGCTGGAGAGCAGGCTGGAATGGAGACGTGGGGCCAGATGATAGAGTTCTGAAGGCCAGGGAGGGAGTTTGGGCTTTGTTCTTCTGTGGTTTGATGGCTTCTGGGAGGAACCATCAAAAGCTTTCCAGGAATTCAGGCTTGTCCATCTCAGGCTTCTCCTTTTGGAAGACCAAGGGCCCAAAGTGGCAGCCTGACATTCAATCTCCTTTGCCATGGTTGGGAAGTCAGGACTGCAGCTGATTTCATTGGCCTGTTTTGCATTTATTATAGTGTGGCTTTTATAGTGTGTTAATTGAAATATTTCCAACTGCCAAAAACAATTACATTCGAATTGCCTTGTCAGTTCTTTTATTGCCAGATAAATGTTTTACAGACATATTTACGGGGGGCAATGGTAACTGGATCTCGTTTTCTATTTAAGGCTGGCAGTTTGGGTTGGGATTGGCCCTCCAATGTCTGTTGTGGGCCAGAAAGCTGTTGGAGTTGTGACGCCTGCATCTTGTTACCTTAGGGATCAGAGGTGCTTCAAAAAAAAGCAGATTTCTGGCTTATGCAGCTTAGCCTCAGAGAAGGCTTCCATCACTGGAAACTCTGGCAACGTGGCAGAGATCTGAATCCTGCTGCCTGCTCTACCAATAACAATCCTAATCCAAGCTGAGACATGCTCTTCCCTCTCCCTGGAATCCCTTTCCTCCTCTCCACCATCAAATCCTCTCCCATAGACTATATTATGTAAGAGCTGTAAGAGCCCATCTAGTCTAACTCTCTTAACTTTGTATTTGGGAAACTGAGGCCCAAGAGACTTTCTCATGAATATACAGGTGGCCTGCAAGAACTAGGAGCAGAGGTCTCTGTCCAATGTGCTGTACTGCCACCATGTTGCCTTGGCCTTTCCTTCAATACTTTAAACTTGCTTCTTCCAAGAACCCTTCTGTCACATTTCTAGCCTCCACTGATCTCCCTTTTGCTTGATCATCTGAAACACCTATTGTAATATATATATATATATATATATAAATATATATATATATATATATATATATATGATTATATATATTAACAATTATATATATGTATATATATGTATATTGCAGGGTTTTTGTTTGTTTGGTGGAATATTTTACTGGCTCTGTCACTGTTCTTCTCTTGCCTTTGTATATGGTGTTTTCTTCTTCTGAATAATGTTTTCTCCATTTAGACAACCCAGCTGGGTTCTTTGTTCTTTGATACCCAGCTGGGAAACAGCCACCTCTGGGAGCCTTTCTTGTGCTCAGTAGGTGTCTCTGTGTACTCCTATAGCACCCTGGGTACACATATCTCTGTTGCTGGCACAGAGGAGGCTTTCAAAGGAGTACTGAATAAGAGAGTGAGTGAGTGAGTGAGTGAGTGAGTGAATGAGAGAGTAAATGATGAACATTCTTACACTGCTCTGTCCTCCATGGACCCTGAACAAACTGGAGTAGGGACCTCATCTCTCTTCATCTGTGTCCTACTGCTTAGGTGTGTCCCTGACACAAAAATAGATGCCCAATAAATGTTTATCAAGCTGAATAAAGCATGCTGCTCTTGGGAACATAAAATTTTAGTGTGTTAGAGCTGGAAGGTCATCACATCCAATCCTATGCATTTTACTGACAAGGAAACTGAGGTCCAAAGAGGAAAAACATTTTTCCCAGAATCATGATCACTAATCGGTTTGATGACATTCTTCATTTATTCAATAAGTATTTGACCCAAAGAAATCTACATATTCAAGGCAATACCTATCAAAATAACCCCAGCATTCTTCACAGAGCTAGAACAAGCAATCCTAAAATTTGTATGGAACCAGAAAAGACCCCGAATAGCCAAAGCGATCTGGAGAAAGAAAACCAAATCTGGAGGCATCACAATCTCAGACTTCAAGCTGTATTACAAAGCTGTAATCATCAAGACAGTATGGTACTGGCACAAAAACAGACACTCAGATCAAGGGAACAGAATACAGAACCCAGGAATGGACCCAGAAATGTATCTTCAACAAAGCAGGAAAGAACATCCAATGGAATAAAGACAGTCTCTTCAGCAAATGGTGCTGGGAAAACTGGACAGCAACATGCAGAAAAATGAACCTGCACGACTTTCTTACACCATACACAAAAATAAACTCAAAATGGATGAAAGACCTAAACATAAGACAGGAAGTCATCAAAATTCTCGAGGAGAAAGCAGGCAAAAACCTCTCTGACCTCGGCTGCACCAACTTCTTACTCAACACATCTCTGGAGGCAAGGGAAACCATAGCAAAAATGAACTATTGGGACCTCATCAAAATAAAAATCTTCTGCACAGCAAAGGAAACAATCAGCAAAACTTAAAGGCAACTGACAGAATGGGAGAAGATATTTGCAAACAACATGTCAGATAAAGGGTTAATATCCAAAATCTATAGAGAACTTATCCAACTCAACACCCAAAAAACAAATGATCCAGTGAAAAAATGGGCAAAAGACATGAATTAGACACTTCTCCAAAGAAGACATCCAGATGGCCAAACAACACATGAAAAAATGCTCAACATCACTCATCATCCAGGAAATACAAATCAAAACCACACTGAGATACCACCTCATCACACCTGTCAGAAGGGCTAACATTAACAAGTCAGGCAACAACAGATGTTAGTGAGGATGTGGAGAAAGAGCATCTCTTTTGCACTGCTGGTGGGAATGCAAACTGGTGCAGCCAGTTGGAAAACAATATGGAGGTTCCTCAAAAAGTTAAAAATAGAACTACCCTACAACCCAGCAATTACACTACTAAGTATTTATCCAAGGGATACAGGGATGCTGTTTCGAAAGGACACATGCACCCCAATGTTTATAGCAGCACTATCAACAATAGCCAAAGTATGGAAAGAGCCCAAATGTCCATCGATGGATGAATGGATAAAGAAGATGTGGTGTATATATATACAATGGAGTATTACCTGGCAATGAAAAAGAATGAAATCTTGCATTTGCAACTATGTGGATGGAACTGCAGGGTATTATGCTAAGTGAAATTAGTTAGTCAGAGAAAGACAAATATCATATGACTTCACTCATATAAGGAATTTAAGATACAAAACAGATGAACATAAGGGAAAGGAAACAAAAATAATATAAAAACAGGGAGAGGGACAAAACATAAGAGACTCTTAAATATAGAGAACAGAGGGTTGCTGGGGGGTTGTGTGTGGGGGGATGGGCTAAATGGATAAGGGACTTAGGGAACCTACTCCTGAAATCATTATTGCACCATGAGCTAACTAACTTGGATGTAAATTGTAAAAAATGAATTATAGAAAAAAAAGAATCACCTTGAAATAAAGGATTATGTTCACTCTGGGGGAAAAAAATAAGTATTTGAACACTTACTATATTCTCAGCAGCGTATAAAACAAAGTACCTGCTTATAAAGAGCTTACATTCATCCCAAACAAGTATTTATAAATATAATTTGACCTCGAAATCTCCTTAACGCATAGTACAGAGCTGAGCACTTAGAATATGCTTTTTAAAAATGTTTGTGGAACTAGTTGCAAATAAGAAATGCCCAGTGCTAAGTTACCTGGTTGCTTTTCATGGGTCAGTGGCACTGACACTGGAATGGGATTGCCTCAGATACAGGGCCTCCTTGACTGGGGTAAGAAGCACATGTTGCCACTAAGAGGACCACTTTTAAGACTTGGGAAAGCTCAATGTCCAGTGTCTTTGAGATCTCTGGGAAGAAGCCTCCCTGTAATACTGTTTCTGATATTCCCACAGAGATTTGCCTATGACTTACCTCTTGTTTCTGTTCTTTCTTTCAGAGCATCAACATAGGCAGAGGAGCCAGGAAGAGAGTAAGTGCTGAGCCCACTGAAGGCTCTCAGCAAGATGCTAACAGCATTGTTTTCTGTTGAAAATATTAGCTATATCTTTTTTAGAAAATTCAAATAGGCAAAAAGACCATTAAAATCACCCTTAGGTGCACCTGAGTGACTCAGTCGGTTAAGCAGCTGAGTCTTGATCTCAGCTCAAGTCTTGATCTCAGGGTTGAATTCAGGCCCCGTATTGGGCTCTGTGCTGGGTGTGAAGCCTATTTTTAAAAAAAATCACCCTTAAACCCACCATTATTGAAAACCTCTTAGTTAACACATGATGTTATACTCTCTCAGATATTTCTGTGCACATATAAAAATTATGTATATTTATTTATTTTTAAGTTTATTTATTTTGAGAGAGAAAAAGCACAAGCAGGGGAGGGGAAGAGAGAGGGAGAGGGAGAAGATCTCAAGCAGGGTCTACACTGTCAGCGCAGAGCCCGATTCAGGGCTTGAACTCATAAACCATGAGATCATGACCTGAGGCAAAGTCAAAAGCTGGACACTTAACCCACTGAGCCACCCAGGCACCCCTGTTTTTAAATGGAATCAAACTGTAAGTTATTCTATAATCTGCTTTTTACATAATATATTTAGAGTGCTTTCCATTGCCAATAAACATACTTTTATAGCATCATTTAAAATTACTGTATAATATTTTACCATATGCTCCTTAAGGCTATACTGTAATTTGTTCAACCATGCCCCATTGTTGGACACTTAGATATTTCCTCTTTTTCATTATTATGATCAATTCTCCAGCAAACATTCATGCATTTAAATCTCTGGGCATGTCCTTGGTTATTTCTTTAATATAAAGTCCTATACATAGAAACTTCAGTCACAGAGAATAAATGCTTATTAGGTTTTTGGTAAATATTTCCAAAATGCTCTTTAGAAAGTTTGCGCTAATTTATGGGTAGCAATTTTCCCACAATGTCACCACCACTGGATTAGTTTTGTTTGGTTGAGTGGTCTCTTTGTTTTGGGTTTTTGTAGTAGTTGTTGTTGTTGTTTTAGTTTTCAACAGTTTTATAGTGAAGAATTGCATTCTTTTATTCGCATATTTTTTCTAACAAGGGTGAGGTTTTTTTTAATACATCATGGGCCACTTCGGCAAGGTGTTTAACTGTCTATTACAGAAAGGAAAAACTTCTAGTCCTTGATTTTTTTGCTCTAAGGATCTGATGAGACTCTGAGGCTTAAAGTTACCAAGTACTGAGAGTGTTGCCATAAGAGTAACCATAAGGTGGCAAATTGGAAGATAAAATATGAATCGGAGCTGAAGCATCTTAAATAACAGCTGGATGTCCTTTCATTTTGCATAAAGCCCTGCCTTTGGCAGCTGGTCCTGACCATTAGGTTCCAGGCTGTATGGGAGAGAATAGGGAGGGGCCACTTCTGGTCTCACTTCTGGCTCGAAAGGCCCACCACAATGTTTCAGATAAGTACTGACCCCCAGGGCTGACATGGCCAAGATCTTCCAGGCAATGAGAACTCTGACCTAAGCAGTTCCTTTGGACTCTTCCATGAGTGGTCTGTTGTGCATTTTGTATTCTACTTATCAGGGGCAGAGCTTGGCTTCTGGGAGGATTTGTGAATGAAGGGAGAGCACTGCTTGCTGATCCTCATGTGAGGTTGTTGTCCAGGATGAAGATTCAGGGACTGAAGTGGGAGAAGGAGCAGATGAATGGGCCCAGTCCAAAGCCACAGTTAGACCCCCTGACCAGCTAGAGTTGACTGATGCGGTGAGTGAACAGCATCCTGCCCTTGCCCCTTCTACCTTCTCTACCCTCAGAGATGTGTTCTTTCATAGTACTGATTAGGAGCCTGCACAGAACCTGGGTGTGAGATGTCTGCTGACACCCTGAGGAGCCCTCCCAAATCTCAGAAGAGGTGTGGGCCTTTGGTATTTCTTGGTATTTCTCTCCCTTAGGAGCTAAAGGAGGAGTTCACCCGCATTCTGACAGCCAACAACCCACATGCACCCCAGAACATCGTCAGGTACAGCTTCAAAGTAAGTCATCCCCTCTGGGTTAGGGGCCTCTAGGTGCTCCTTGGTTTGGCAGTGACTTGCTACATTCCAAAAGCTTCTCTGCTATTAGAGAGATCACCTTTAAACTCTGGTCTTTGACCAGAACCTTGAAATTTTACATGGAATTTTCCAGAGATTTAGAAAATTCCATAATGAATCTCCCTTGAAATCTTATTCAGTACTTATTACGTGTCAGACACTGTTAATAAATTATTTTCTGGGCACTTGGGTGGCTTAGTTGGTTGAGTGTCTGACTCTTGATTTCAGCTCAGGTCATGACCCCAGAGTCATGGGATTGAGTCCTGCATTGTACTCCGCACAGAGTGTGGAGCCTGCTTATGATTCTCTCTCTCTCCCTCTGCCCCTTTCTCAGGCTCATGCTCTATCTAATATTTTTTAAACAGTAATAAATAAATTATTTTCATTATTTTCAATACTTATAACTATCCTAAAAATTGGATATTATTATCTTCATTTTACATATGAAAAAAATAAAGCTTAGAGTGGTTAAGCCCAAGGTCATGCAGAAAATAGGGGAAGGAATCAGGATTTGAATCCATTCTGCCCACCAACATAGACCATGCTTTTAATAACTGCACTGTTTCATTTCCCATCCATCTGAGTTACTGAGAGAAGAAGGGCTTTGTGATGACTTTTTAAGGCAGAGTGTCCCAACCTATGTGCAGAAATAGTGATTCTTTCAGCTCTCCAGAGGCAGGTGGGTTTGATACAGCTGGAGCCCATGGGCTGGTTTCCTCTCCAGTGAGTTTACCCTAGTGTGTCATACAAATACAACAATATTCTATGTGACTTTAAAAGGGCTGGGAAGATATATTTTGAAAGAAGGAAGGAAACCTTGGTCTCAAAGTCAACAGTACAACTAAGATGCTTGTCAATATGGAGGCTGTCTAGAAGAACCAGACTAATAGGCCCTGTGAAAGCAGGGATCATATCTGCTTTTGTTAAGCTTTATGTCTCTGGAACCTAGAAAATACTTGGCATGTTGGTGTGCCTGGGTGTCTCAGTTGGTTAAGCATCTGACTTAGGCTCAGGTCATGATCTCACAGTTCGTGGGTTTGAGCCCCACATCGGGCTCTGTGCTGACAGCTTGGAGCCTAGAGCTTGCCTTGGATTCTGTGTCTCCTTCTCTGTCTGCCCCTCCCCTGCTCATGCTCTGTCTCTCTCAAACATAAATAAACATTAAAAAAATTAAAACAAAATACTTGGCATGTTGTATTTGTTTAAAAATTAGGTGTTGAAGAATAAATGAACAAGGTTACCTAGACTTTAAGACTAGCCCTGATTTTCATTTTCTGGACATTTTATAAACTGGACAAGTGCCAAACTCAAACATTTTCTAGCTATCTGTGGCCTTTTGTATGGAAACAGGGGAATTGGAGATTTGGTATCTCTGAGGATCTATCCAGCCCTCACATTCACTAAATACTGTTCAGAGTAGGCCAGGCCAGGTATGTTTGAGGACTATGCGTGACCTGCCTCAAATCTGTGATGAAACAGGTATACCAGGATTGCTTGGCATGGATGTAAGAGCCAGTGATAGACAAATCCAGGGCTATTCAAAATTGGAAAGAAAAGATATTTAAAAATATGTCTTTTATGAGAATTTTTAAAAATTTTATTTCGTTTGCCTCCTCTTTAAGCTGCAATGCAATGAAAACTTCAGGTTAACTGAGGATTTGATGAGATCTATATATATCGTTAACAGATGGGCCACGTTAAGCCTTATAGAATGAAGGCAGACTACATTCTGACTCCAGCAGCCCTTTTCAGGACTTTTGGTCTTACCCAGTCTTCTCTCCTCTTAGGAAGGCACATATAAGTTTATTGGCGTTGTGAACCAACTGGCAGTTCACTTCAGCCAGGTTGGGAACCTGATCCCTAAAGACTCAGATGAAGGACGACGGCAGCACTACCGTGATGAGTTAGCAGCAGGTAGGCCTCAGGTCAGCCTGATGCTACAGCCCAGAGCCTCGTCCCCTTTCTGTGGTCACCCTAGGGAGCAGATCACTAAGCCATAACTTTGCAGCGCCTCTACTTACATAAAGTCCAACAGCTGGCTGTCCTGGATAGGTCTGGGAGTTAACCCATGAGAACCCTGGGGTAGGTGAGGTCTCAAAAGCAGGAACAAAGAAAGCCTTGCCCTACCAGGGGATGGGGGAGGAGGCCTGGACTTTGGGTTCATCTGCAATATCCTACCAAGGTTCTCAGGAGTCCACCAAGGTGGTGATTTCAGAAACTGAAATCCTTGAAGAAGAAGAAGAGCCTAAGGAATCTGAAGCTGAAGCTGAAACTGAAGCTGGGAGTCAAATAGATATGCCTGCAGCTGAGGTACAGTATAATATTGTTCCCATCTCTCCCCTTCCAGCTCTAGCTGTGGATGGAAGTTTCAGGGGTAACTTGTTATGGGGTGGGGCTGAAGGTGAGATGTTAGAGGCTCCAGGTGCCAATGCCTCTGGCATCATCACCCTCTCCCTCTTCTATCCTATCCTAAGACATGACTTCTCCCCACTCCTGACTCCCCACCATCTTCTTGTCACAGCTGAGCCCTGGTCCTATGGGTCTTTTTTTCCAGGCAGCTGAAAAAGTGACTGAAGAAGAATTGATGACTCCTAAGCAGCCCAAGGAGCGAAAGCTCACCAACCAGTTCAACTTCAGTGAGAGGGCCTCACAGACCTTAAACAACCCTCTCCGGGTAGAGCAGCCCCACCCCAGCCCCTTTACCTCACAGCTCTGTACTGTGCATGGCAGGAAAGGAACAGGCCTGACTCCAGCCTCAGCAGCTCTTGGCCTGGAAGGGTGACAGGCATGCACCACAGTTAAATTCTCTGAGGAGAGCTTGAAGCATGTGTTCAGTCCTTATAAGCCATCCTCATGGGAGTTCAGAGTGGGTAACAAGGAATCTGGAGCCCTTCAACTGAGACTGAAACATGTAAGGGCCTTGAAGAGGAGGTCAAGATCTGGGGGAGAGAGGAGAGGCCAGATGTGCCAGGGAGGCAGGACTAAGAGCCAGTTTGACTGAAGTTGATGGTCTCTGTGATAGACTAACTAGAAAAGGCTGGAAAAGCTCCCTGGCTCATAAGTATGGAGGACCCTGAGTACAGGCTGAAAGAATCTCTCAGGATTTCAGGGGAGAGACTCACATATGTAAGACAGTGTTTTACAGAAATGAATCTGTGAATGGAGGGCAGAAGTCTACATGATGGGTTTATGGCAGATTCTAATCACACTGTGTACTCCCTATTCAGTAATCTGGGTGATACACAATGAGGAGGGAGTGCATTCCCATGGTGGAGCCACAGGCCCCAGTATTAGGGAGAAGTCTTCTCAGGGTGAGGGATATTAGTCCAGTAGCTTGCCAGGGGATGACCTGTGTCTTGCATTTAAAGGCTGGCCAGAGCCCTGCCTAACCCCCACTTAGTTGAACTGGCATAATCAGGCTTCATTGCCCCCTATTTCTAGCTTAGTCTTCTGAAGGAAGCTTAGAAGGAAAATGTAGGCTTTCACTGCATCATTTCATCCTTTGTTCAGCCCCTCTTTACTTCCCAGTTCTGTGTCCCATCCCTCCCCCTGCTCCAACTGAAAGGCTTCACCCATGGATGGATATACTGTTGGGTTAAGTGAGAAGGAGTTGAGGGCTCTCCGTTGGTTTCTTGTTGTCATTGTTCACTAGGACCGAGAATGCCAGATGGAACCTCCTCCCAGGACAAACTTTTCGGCTACAGCTAATCAGGTGAGACCCTGGGTCAGTCTAAAAGTCATCACCACACCCCCACCTCTCCACCTCATGCATCCTTGTCAAAGATTCCTGCCCTCCTCATCCATCCATCTCCATGCTCCTTGTCCAGGCTCTGAACATCAGGCATATTAGACAGTAGGTACCCACCTAGTGAGCTGTGGATCAGCCACATGCCTCTCAGGGGCAAGACTATCAAAGAGGGAAATAGGCATGGCTTCCAACTCTCTATAGTCACCCCATGCTGACTCTGAAGTGTTAGCACTCTAATCTGTCCTTCCAACAGTCTTAATTGTTCCTGCAGACCCTCTTTCCCCCTCAAATTCTACTGGATAGCCATGCTGATTTGAGCAGGATATGGTGCCAGGAGACCTGAGCTCAGGCTCCAACTTTGCTGCTCATACTGTAAGACCCTGGGCAAACCGTGTCACCCTTGATGCTTCAATTTCTATTTCTCTGTCAAGCGAGGACAACAAGCAGCCTTGCAGGGCTGTTGGAAGGCTCTGAATGAGATAACAAACATTGAATTATGTTGTGGTGTGGAGTACTGGCCCATGGTGAATTGTTAATATAAGGTGTGTCTATCTGGCCTCCAGGTGGCAGTGACTGCCCAACTCTGGAGAGCACACAGTGATCTGGGTTTTTCCCCCCATATCCTTGCTGCTTCCTTTGTTATGATCCTTGAGCTTCTCTTGCTGTCAGATGCAGTTAGCAGGAGTTCCCTTGCTTTTTGTTTATCTTTTTATGCTCAGAAGGTGTGGTCAGTGCTGTAGTTAGCAAAACATGAACTAGAAAGTTTATCACATCTCCATGGGGGAAATATTTTTTAAATTTCCTAGTTCAGAGTCTTATAAATCACCAAGAAAAATGTGATCCACCTTGATATTTGCCCATTTGTTTTGCCTAGTAGGATTTGTAGTTTGCAGCAATACTGATCTCCAGCTGATAACTGAGCCCCTGAGCTGCAGGGTGGAAAGCCCATCCCAGAACTGCCCTGAGAATTCCTTCATTCCTGTCCTAGAGCTGACAACACAGAAGACAGACATTGAATACATACAGTGGGCCAAGTAGAGGATGCTATAGAGGCATGTGACAGGGCCTGACATAATCTATTTCTCAAGCTCTAAAAGCTGAAGCTGGCTGGGTGAAGATTTTGCCCTGCAATGAACCTTCTCATCTTGCCCTTGCCTAGTGGGAGATCTACGACGCCTATGTAGAGGAGCTTGAGAAGCAGGAAAAGACCAAAGAGAAAGAGAAGGCAAAGACACCAGTGGCTAAAAAAATGGGGAAGATGGCCATGAGGAAGATGACATCTATGGAGTCCCAGGTTTGGTGGGGTTTCCCATGGATCTGTCACAGAGAATGACTGAGTGGGATCTTGGTCTCATGGTAGAGAGAAGCCTGGCTATCTGGAAGGACTTTAAAGACCTTAGGTGGGGAGATAATGTTGAAATATGAATAGTTCTTTCCTTGTAGGAAGGTTTGAAGAGAGCCACAGCTGCCTCTGGCATTCCACACCTCTTCCCAATCTTATATAGGTCTGGAGACCAGCAAGGATTCAGGGTTTGGGGGCTAGGCGGCAACAGAAGACATGAATGTTATTGAAACCCAATGCACACCCTGAAAGAGCTCAGGAGTCTTCTCAGGATGGGGTGGGATGTGATAATAAGGCACCACCTCCCTGAGCAAGGGGTCATGGGGCTTTGGAGAGTGATTTGCTCTTTGACCTTCAGTCCTTGGGTTATTTGTGCTCAATCTTTTAGGTGAGTCTTATGGGCCAGGTGCTAAGTCAGGGCTGATCACAGACACCAGCAGGTTCAGGCTGATGGGTGTGGCCACTCTGGGCTGGATTTACCATGAAGAAACATAATAAGAGTCATTATAGATGTCTATTTTGTGGGGCTCATTGTGAGTATAGCCAGCGTAGGTTTGGGGATCATTATGGAAGTTATAGTGATAGGTCCCCACAAAGAAGATCACCACAGAGAGATGCTGAAGGGCCACATCTGTCCTTTCAACACAAAGAAAGCTGAATCAGGAGCCAGAGTCCCAGTATGGATGTGTTTGACCTGTAATAGGATGGGAAAGATGAGGTCTGGATTCAGCACCCTGGAGAGCTCCCAGACAGCTCTCCGGGAAGCGATTTTGCTATGGAAGCCAGATGAGTTTAAGTAAGTTTTGCTTCCTTTGTCTGAAGTATGCCCACTTCCACTCAATTACATGTCCCTGATAAAAGTCACATTTTCTGGGAGTTTTAAGAGTTCCCTGCTTTGGCTTAATATAAACTGCCCCAATTCCATTTCATTCAATTACAGACCAAGCACTTGTGATCATGATCATGCTGAGTACTGGAACTCTGAAGTGAAAGATGAAGTCCCTGTCCCATGGGTTGCCCTGTCCAGACCCTGTACTATTCCCTAGAGGTTAGGAGCTTCAGAGAGGGTGTTAGCCTGGGTCAAGTTTCACTTGAAGATCCATCAAGGGTTTGGCTATAGGCTGTGTGCTAGGACTATTATTGCAGAAACTTTAACTGCAGCCACCAGGACCCAGAGAAGAAAAGAAATATCCCTGTGGCTGAAAGTGAAAATTGTCCTTGGGTCTAAGCCCTTGGGATCTAACATGTATATCAGACTTGGTGTCTAATATGTCCAGGGAAGTAGGACTGCACTTTCTTCCAGCTTTGGTTGACATTGAAGGCTGTGATGCAGGCAGAGCTCAATTCTCTGGACCAGGAAGCTACAGTGAAGGCATAACATTGTGGGATATAAGATACCCCCCAACATCAGTGAATACCTTAGTATGCAACCTGTAAGCAAGGGAATTGAGTTTTAACTGGGAATCTCAAGTACTGGCCCTGGCTATCTGTAGAACAGAGTGATCTTTTGCTCAGGCCCAGTGCATGCACAGAGTGACACCCTTTTCTCAGAGACCTGCATCTGATGAGGTTGGTATAAAACTCAAGTGAGTGGGAGGGGGAAAGCAGAATAACTCTATGATACCCTGTAGGAAAGTCTGCAATGATAGATCTCAGATTTCTGTCTCATTAATCATTTGGATGAATATACAGAAATGAATGCAGGCTTGTATGATCTGAAAGATTAGGATGGGAATGGCAGAAAGGTCTGAGAGGCCACAAATTTAGTCAGAACCAATAAAAAGCTGTGTCTTCTCAAGTAGTATAGTATCCAGAACAAGGGAGGCAGTGGTCCACCACACATCTGGAACCTGGAGACTGCCAGGACCATGCAAAGGTGGTCAGACTGGTGAGGGACTGGCTTTCTGTGTGGGCCCGAGGGCATGGGACCTGGAATCCACAGAGTTGAGTTTATATCCTGGCTTTGCTACTTATTAGCCAGGTTTTTCTAACCTGTTTCCTCATCTGTAAAGACATCCTAATGATGTTACTTTGTAAGATTGTTGTGAGAACCCAGGATTATGTATAGTTGCTAGTATAGTACAATGACCCCAGATGCAGGTGGCATTATCCATCCCCACTGTATCATGTGTACTCTAAGACTCAGAGAATTTAAGTGACTTACCTAAAGTTGCCAACTGGCTCCTTCTTAATGCATGGGATAGGAAGGGAATGAAGGTCTGTGTGGCTCCAGAATCCATTCTCTTAACCACTGCCTGATGCTGGCACTGCTAGTAACTCTCATTTTCAACACCCATGGGCCTGGTGCTCTGAAGCTCCTCAAGCGTTGCCCACTCAGCTGGTTTCTTCCTGCAGTGGGCAAGGCCTTAGATTAGGAGTCATTTCTGCCTTTTACTCCCTGTATACAAGCATATCTGTTGGACCAGAAGCTCTCTGAGGCTTTAATGAGAGTCTTTGTCATTGCCTGAGATGATAAAACCTCCTGTCTCCACTAAAGAAGCCTCCTACCTCCCATTTTCTGCTCTCCCCTTCAATACTCTTCAATGTCTTGTGTTGTGCTCTGAGATATGCCTTCTCCAGAACAAGTTCAGAATGAAAGAGTACAAGACAGGCTGTACCCAGGGGCCAAGTATGGCAGTGCAAACTCCTTGTGCCATTTAAGAGCTGGGCATTCCCCAAAGGGGGTGGTGAGGTGATCTGGCTTTGGAGGCATGAAGAGATATCTTTACAGAGCTATCCGGGGTGGGTGGTGTCAGAGAGAAAATTGCAAGTCTGGGCTGTGGCTCAAGACATAACCTTTCCAGGTGCTAGCTAAGAGAGCCTGTGGCCTCTGTTTCTCCACAGAGTGATGACATCACCAAAGTGACTCAGGCTGCTAAAATCGTGGAGCGGATGGTCAACCAGAACACTTATGATGATGTTGCTCAAGGTAAGATTTGAAGTGCTGGCAACTACTATTACTGCCTGTATTAAAAATTCCTCATACAAGGCAAGTATTTGAGTGTCCCATGCTAGGTACTATAGGGGTGCAAGAGGAGACAAACTAATCCCTTCCTCCTCTGGATGTCACTAGAGAGACAAGACACACACAGGTCAACTACAAACAATGGAATAAGAAAAATGGGTATAGTGATGAGATCTGACAATAGTGCAGCAAAACTTACATATTAGTGATCCAATGTCATCTTTGCAACAGTCTGGGAGGTAGGCAGAGCAGAGAGTATTACCCCTACTTTACACAAGAGGCAGGTAAGGGCAAGTCTACCTGGCTGCTGAATGGCAGAGAGGACCCAAATCTAGGTCTTGAGTTTCCTAATTCTGTGCTCTTTCTCTACTGTGTCCAGCTTGGAGATAATATAAATGCTATAATGCAGACTGAAACTGCTCTGGGGATCCTCAAGAATGGAAGAAGAGAAACGAGGGATGAGTGGCAACAGTCAAGGAAGGCTGTAGGGAGGGCTAAGCTAGGTGCCAAGGGATAAGCAGAGTGTGAGTAGACTAGCAGAAGGGCAGATGTTCTGGGCAAGGGACAGCACAAGCAGTGACTCGGTGGTAAAAATGAATGGGACTGGTCTCTGGGGATAGAGTGCAGCAGGCTCAATGATTCAAACAGGGGTTTCTTGGAAAGTAGTGAAAGCTCAGGCTACAGAGGTGATTGGAGGCAGTTAATGAAGGGCCTGGAATATCTCAGGGAATCTGAGATTTTTCTGCAGACAGTTCAAAGATTCTGTCCAGGCAGGAACACAGCCCAGTGAGAGTATGTCTGGAGAAGGATGCAATTGGACAGAATACAGGGACAGAGACAAAAATGAGGTTCAGGTGTGGGGTGGAGTGGGCCTCACCACACCTTTTCCAGAAAATGGAGAAAAGGAAACAGCTATAAGAGTGAAAAACCAACACCAGCATTCACTGGGAATGGCCTATGTACTGGGCATTGTGCTGTGCAATTTACTTGTATTATTTTATATCATCCTGACAGACACACTGTCAGGTGAATTCCATTATTATCTCCATTTTATAGGTGATAGATTTGGGCTATCGCTACTTGTTCAAAATAGTAGCTAGTATGACAAATGAGTGGTACAATCAGGACTTGAACACAGCCCCTTAGATCCATAGCTGAAGCACTTCATCACAAAGCTACAGAGCCACTGGGCTGGAAGAGACTTTTCAAAAAAAAAAAAAAAAACAAAAAACATTCAATAAGTCTATGCTGGTGATTAATTAGTGATGAAGTGAAGAAAGAGATTGATTCAGAAATGCTTAAATCCTGGGGGCCTGGGAAATTCTGGTGTCTTTGACAGAGCCAGGGAAACAGAATCCTTCCCATGGCATGAACAGCACATTCCCAAGTGGCTTGTATTTCCCTAAGAGGTTGTGCATTTATTTGGAGCAGCTGCCTCCCCAAAGTTGGCAGCTCCTTGTTGCTGGCTGGTCTCCTTTGCTGACAGCCTAGGGCTCTTCTTGGTGACTTGATGCTCATTGCTCACCCATGGGACATAGAAACCAGGGCTGCCAAGACCAGAAGCCTACACAAGCCCCCTTGTTATCATTCAGGCTGGAAAACGACCTTGAGTGCTTTTCAAAGCTGTCAAAGTACACAGCAGCTGTGAATGAATTTGTCACTCATGCAGCTTGGCTTCCTGAAACCCAGCCTCTGCAACCAGCCCACCAAAGGGCTGCAAACACGATTAATATCCATGGAGAAATTGGCCTTGGTGAACCTTTTTCATTTGTAAGAACACAATCACATAAAAGTGCATTGAACTTTGATTTTTTTTAATTGCATACTCTTTTCCCTTTGGGAAAGTGTAATCATGAAGAAGTGAAAACAGAGAAGTATTACCAATTAATCTCCTTCTGAAATGAAGTATTTTCAAAGATAGCCTAAGCTCAGGGATCTCTGATATGATCAAGGCTCATGCCTCTGATCACTCAAGTCTTTTTTTATTCTGAGACATTTTTGAGGTTTGAATGTAGTCCCACAACCTCAAGGCTGGGGGCAGTGCCTGGGCATGTCCTTGACCGTGTTGGATGAGAGGATTAGTTTTCTAATGGGTTACCCTTGATTGGAAAAAAGACAGAAACTTTTCACTTCTGTTGATTTATTTCATTGCACTCTTTGAACAGTCATTGGGTGTCTGCTCTATGGCTGGCCCTGTGCTAGGCACTGCAAGTCGAGAGATGAATATAACATGCTTCCTGCTCCCCAGGAGCTGTCTGGTAGGAGAGACAACCAAAAGGATAAATAGAAGCAACACAGCATGACAGACATTTCAGTAGAGACAGGGCTGGAATGGAGGAAGAAATGAATTCTGCTCAACAAGAAAGTGAAGGCCTCATAGAGGAGAAAGAGTTGAATCTGGATCTTCAATGAATAGGAGTTTGCCAGGAAGATGAAGGAGCAGGACATTTCAGACACTGATACAGAGGTTATGTGAACACCTGGCTGGAAATGACATGGAAGTCATGGTCTGGAGCCTTGGTTTGACCATGGAGCCATGTGCAAGGGGAGCCATTGGGGGATTTTCAGTGGGTTGAAGGAGGTAGTGTGGTGAGGTGATTTATTTATTTGCATTCAGGTAGCTCTGTGGAGCATGGACTGGAGGAGGAGTTACTGGAGGTGGGCAGACCAGTTAGGAGGATGGTGTAATAATCCAGGCAATGGCTCTTGGGGCCTGGGCAGTGGCTATGGGTTTGGAGAGAAGTGAATGGATTAAAAGTAGTCAGAAGGAAAATATGAGAGATGATGGAGAGATCAGTCAAGGATTACTCACGTTTCTGGCTTAGACAAGTGGAAGGACAGATGGAGCTTTTGCCTAAGTTGGAGGAAACGGAAGGCAGAGACAATTTAGGGCTGGAGATGAACTTAAGTTCAGAGAACCCATCAGGGATCCAAGAAGCTTCACCATAGTGGGGTTTAGCCACAGATACAAGGACGGACAAACCTGGGATTTTATCTATGCGGACGTGACTACTTTATTGTAATTTGCCTCCAACAACAGGGATGACAGTAACAATAATACGTATAGAGAGCTTACTAGGTGCCAGGTATTTTTCCAAGTACTTTACATATATTAACATTTAATCCTCACAACAGTCCTTTGAGATAGGTACTATTACTGTTCTCACTTTGAAACACAAAGAGTCTGATTGTTTGGGCCAAGGAGATACAGACAGAAAGTGGCGGACCTGGGCTTGCCATAAAATGGCAGTCCTAGGGCTGATTCAGCCTATGTTTGTTTAAGATTTTAAGTACTATGAGGATGCTGCCGACGAATACCGAGACCAGGAGGGTACTCTGCTGCCGCTCTGGAAATTCCAAAATGACAAAGCCAAGCGCCTGGCCGTCACCGCCCTCTGCTGGTAAGTGTAGACATTGCAGCAAACCCGGAGCCCCTGAGCGCCTGCTGGGTGCCAAGCCCAGAGCACGGCACTTCTACTGCATTTAACTACTTTGAGGATGACACGTAGCATTATAGAAAAAAAAAAAAAAAATGAGACTGGGATTCTTAAGGGATTGTGGGATTATCCCAGGTCTCAACACTCAACAGTAGATATCTGCAGCATAGTTAGGCACCAATATTCATGGGAACGCTCATGTCCACAGGAAAGCCATGTTCATTTCCTGGGCCAATGGGTTCCTATTTCTTTTGCAGGAACCCAAAGTACAATGATCTGTTTGCAGTGGGACATGGCTCCTGTAAGTAATCTGGCTATTTGTTCCTTTGCTCACTCAATCAGCAAACATTTAAGTACCTATTCAATGCAGAGCTCTTTGCCAGATGTGAAAGAAGTAAGATGACTAAGATATAGTCACTTCCCTCAAGGGGCTCACAGTCTAATGGGGAAGACTGACAGTCATACCAGCAATTGGTGCTGGGTGAAGGAATATACCAAAGTGAGCCTTGAATGTGTTATTGTGGTGAAGAAAGAGGGGAGGCACTTCTGACAGAGGGACCAGCATATGCAAAGGTCCAGAAGCACAAGAGATATGGGAGGAAATGAAGCTGTTGAAGAAGCCAGGGTTGGCCCCCAAAGGGTTTGGGAAGTCATTCTAAGAAGCTTGGACATTCTCCTGAGGGGAAATCACTGAAGGAATTTGAGAAGCACAGGGACAGAACCAGCGCAGGGGGAATTGCAGGCATGAGACTGGGTGGGGGCTGGGAAACCAGTTAGGAGGCTGGTAAGGCACCCCAAGAAGAGATGGCAGTATCTGGACCACGACTTTGGACCGGGGATGGAGAAGTAGGTTTGGTAAGCTTGAGAAGGTAGGCTGGACCAGACCTGGGGAGAGATTGGATGGTGAGGCTGAGAGAGGGAAGTTTCCTGATCCGGCCCTGGGAACAGGCAGGGGCGGGGACAAGGGCTTGATGTTCATCACTTGGCCCCTGGGCCCTGGAAGACCACTATTGTCCAGGGTGTTCTCACTCCTGCCAGTGCCCCCCTCACCCCTGCAGCAGGAGGCAGCACTGTGGTAACTGTGGTAGTTTGCTTAGCCTTCATGTTCCACGGTCCCTGCAGAAGCCACTACCTCCAAGCTGGCCTGGACATTCCCTTTTCCTAACAGGAGAGGGCCCCACACTTCATGTTAGCGCAGCTCCCAAGCTAACAGCATGTTCCCTGGCTGGGAGGATCAGCTTCTGTGAACAGAAAAAACCTTCCATTCTCCAAGCTTCTCCTGGCTGGCAGACATGCAAGCTCCTGCGCTCTACCCCTCAGACCGCCTGTCCACCCAGCCCATTCTTTGACCAGGATGCGGGAGGTGGAAGGGAGGGCAAGGAGGAGTTGGTGTTTATCATTCCTCTCAGGGAGGAGACCTTGGAGCTGCTCCCAGTCTCGTGGTCTGGGCTGCCTTTGAGGATGCCCTAAATGCCTGCTTTGTGTCCCCACTCCTGAGGGTGGGCTGCTGCCAAGCTGGAAGCACCCTCCCCCTCTGGCAGGGAACTAGCACATTCCTCCTGCTCTGCTGCAGCTACTGGGCTTGGAACAGGACCTGGGGGCTGGGCAGGCCCTCCAAGGAGTGGGTGTGGACCCCCTGTGAGGCTCCTCTCAGCCCAGGCTCCCTGCCCAGGATGGAGGCAGGGGTGAGGCAGGCTCCCTAGCAGGTGGGAGGTGAAACTGCATCAGTTCTACTCCCATCCTCCTCTCACCCAGGGCCAGAAGCAGGGTGGCAGGCTGGTTGGGGTCATGCAGAGGCTACCCACAGGGGCAGCTTTAGCCAGGAACAGTGAAGAAGAGTAACCCACCCTTCAGGATTAGATGACTCCAAGCCTGACAGACCCAATGGTCTCCTTTAGGCAGGCATGCACCCAGGAAAGGTCTCCTTGTCCCTTGCTGGCCACATGGCAGACCTTCTGGCTGGAGGGTCACTTCCCAGTGGTGTGACCTGGGGCCAAAAGTGTCTTCTTTTTTTTTTTTTTAATTTTTATTAAAAAAAATTTTTTTTACATTTATTTATTTTTTGAGACATAGAGAGACAGAGCACAAGTTGGGGAGGGGCAGAGAGAGAAGGAGACAAAGAATCCAAAGCAGGCTCCAGGCTCCCAGCTGTCAGCACAGAGCCCGACATGGGGCTCGAACTCACAAACCGTGAGATCACGACCTGAGCTGAAGTCAGACACTTAACCGACTGAGCCACCCAGGTGCCCCCAGCAGTATCTTCTGAGCCTTGGCTTCCTTATTGGTGACATGAAGAAACTGACACCTGCCAGACTTCCTGGGCTGTTGCTAGACACACTTGAAAGAAAAGCAAATGGGCCCTGTGAACTATAAGAACTACCCACATATAAAGGACAATCATTGTTGATTTGTCTGTCATTCTGTCCCCTCTCTTTCCTGCAGGAGTCTCAGGGGACCTAAGCAGAGAAAGGGGGCTGTGGGGATGGAAGAGAATCAGACAAGCCCCTACCTACTCTAAAGAGCAGGCCCCAGCAGCAGCGGTGGTGGTATTTGCTGTTGCTGCTACTGGCACCAGAGTTATTGGCCAGCTTGCATGTGGGCATCTTTCTCCAGAACCTTGCACATCTCAGCACCATTCTGCAGAGGCCTGAGCAGAGCCAGTCTGCGCTGAGACTCAGAAGGGCTCCTGCATTCATTTCTGAGGTCACCTCTGGGAGTCCTGTGCTCTCGAATACCCCGAAAGCCCCCTGGAAGAAAGAGGGCAAAGCTGAGGCAGGGAAAAAACTAGGCACCCTAGTTACCGGATGGGGTCACTGTGAGGAGCACCTGGGTCGCCAGCATCACACTGACTTTGGAAACTCCCAGATGCCAGCCTCCCAGCATCAGACTTTGCCTCAGGCAGACAAACACTGGAGTGAGAATTTGGGTTTGTTGTTGGATTTGATACTGATGAGCTCAGCCCAGACCTCCTTTTGCCTGGAATTCCCAGATATTTATTCTATAACACTGCCAAGAAGGTCGTTGGAAGGGGTAGGCACGTACCTAAGAAGGACTGGGGCCACTCTCCTATTTGGGCATAGAGCAGGTTGGCTGGAGCAAGGCCAGGTCAGGAGCAAATGGGTGGAGAAAAGGGAGTCCAGGAAATTGCCTGCAATAGCAAAGACACATTTGCACCTGCCTCCCCTGTGTGGCTACTGGATATGAGATGGTGGGGATGTCAATCTGCATATAAGGCAGACACTGGGATGTCCCCTAGGGCCAGGCTCCATGTCTCAGCAGAGTGGAAAAAGATGCTGTCAGCAGGTGAAAGCAGATGGAGGAACGTTGGAGGGCAAGGGAAAGTAGTCTAGGAAGGGATGGCCCATGGGGCAAAGCTAGGATGCAATTCTATCAGCCTACTGTACTGAAGGGGTCCTTTCCAGCCCGTTAGCCAGTTGATAGCAGGGAAATGAGGACTCCTTATGATCTGTTGGGCAGAGATGGTGGAACAGATCCTGGACACTCTGTGTGGTTCTGACTGGCTATCGCACGGAGATGAGGAAGAAGCTTCCCAGTGGGCTACATCTAAGAAAGGCAGAAGACCTAGCTGTCCCTCAGCCCCACTTCCCTCTGGGAGCAGCCATTAAAAGGGGCCAAAGTCAGGCCCTGAGTCCCAGCACTAAACCCTTTGCCACTCTGTACCATCACATCCTGGCCTGTCTCTGAGATTGCCTAGGCCAGAGATACACTTGTAGGGACTTAAATCTTTCCTGATCATTTATTTGTCAGCTTCACTAATTAAGCAGTGTTAATTTCATTTACTGAAAATGGAAATTCATCCACCTCATTTCTCCCTGTTCATCCTCCACACACAAAATCCATCACTCCTCAGCTGCAGGCTGCGTAAAATTTACAGGACTAATTATGTTGTCAGGTCTCTTTGTAAATACAGTCCATAAAGGCCACTGTGCTCGCTGGGTTGTAGTGCAAGGGCATTCCCGTTGTTAGTTTAATTACTGGTTAGTTATTTAGGTTCTCAAATGTTTGCTTCATTTTCCCTAAATCAAATTAAATGTCCCGCTTGATGTATTCTGTCTCCAAGGCCTTGCTCTTATTTCCTACACTGTTTAAATATGACTTCTAATCGGATGAGAGTGCTCGGCAAAGCCCAGCTGCCTGGGAGACTGAACCCAGCCTGGCACCGTGGCCTCTGGGCCATCCTGGAGGTTTGGAACCCTCTAGCACTGATGCCATTTCTTGGGGAAGCCTTGGGCTGGTCCCCTGCCTTTGGAAACTAAAAATCCTAACCCAAAGGGCATTTCTATTCCTGGAGTCCAAGGTGGCAGGGCCAGGTGTAGGAAACTGAGGGAGGGTTTCGTTATTGTGGTTAGAACAGCTGGGGATCATTGCATCCATCCTCCTGACTTCTAGAAACACTGCTTCCAAACCATCCCAAGAAAGATTATTATCTATGGGACTTCTCCCTCTGATTCCTAGAAGTAGAGTCTGGATCAAACCTCCCCGAATGCCTATATTTGTTTCCTATTGCTACTGTAACAAATTGCTACAATAATGCCACAAACATAATGGCTTCAAACAACACGAATTTATTATCTTACAGTTCTGAATGTCAGAAGTCTAAAATGAGTTTCACTGAGAAAAAAAAAATCAGTTGTCAGCAGGGCTTCAATCCTTTTGGAGGCTTTAGGGGAACATCCATGTCCTTGCCTTTTCCAGCTTCTAGAAGCTGCCCATATTCCATGGCTTGTGGCCCCCTTCCAGCTAGCAATTGCATTATTCTGACATCTCCTCTGACTCTCCTGCCTCCCTCTTTCCCTTATAAGAACCGCTGTGATTACACTGAGTCCACTCAGATAATCCGGATAATCCACTCAAATAATCTCCCTGTCTCAAGGTCTTTAACTTAATCACATCTCCAAAACCCCTTTTGCTGTGCAAAGTAACATAGTTATGGGTTCTAGGGATTAGGACTTGGACATTTTAGGGGGTGTTATTCTGCCTGCCACAGCCCCCCTCCAAATGCCTCTTGCCAGACTTAATAAGGGAGTCATTAAGCAGCTGCTGTCTTGGAGTCAGCCCTGGGCTAGACTCATTTGGAAAGCCACAGTGAAGAGAGGAGAAGCCTGCTGTCGAAGCTGGCTTGGTAAACTGGTCTCTGCAGCTTGGCACCTACTTCTCTCTGGCTACTGACCTGGTGTTATCCTGGTGGACCGACATGCCCTCTGTCTGCCTTGCCTTCCCTGAATCCTGAGCAAGAGCCCAGGCTTCCCCTGACAGCCACAACTCTCCAGAGTGGCCCCCTATGATCTACAGCTATAACTTGCAAGACAGGGGTGGAGCTGTGGGACTGTGGCCCCCACTGGGGCAGTTCAAGAAGAACTACTCCTCCCTGGGCACTACTCTGCTAGGGCCCTAGCACAAGGAGCTGAGGGAGTGAGAGCTTTGGTCTGTGGTGGAATTAAGCACTCCCTCCCCTGAGACCATGGCTTTCTGAGAACTGCCAGATCAGATTCTATTAGGGGGTTGACTCTCCTTCCCAGAATCTTATGAATCCTTGAAGGTCAGAGTCAGGGAGGCCTTAGAGATTATCCAGCAGAGCAGGGGTAGGAGGAGGCAACCCTTACACTGGAAAGAATAAACCTGCTGGGCCAAGCCATGCTCACTCCATTCTTTGATGGAGTCTTGTGGCAGGCTAAGGAAAAGACCTGCTCATGACCACCTGTCATAATGACATATAGGTAGAGAAGAGTGAGGGGGCACACACAGAGGAGAGGCTGAATGATCTGGAAGACTTCCTGGAGAAGGGCAAGAGCATGAAGTGGAGCTAAGGCCAGGCCAGCAGCCCTCTCCCTCTGTCTCAGAGTTACAGACTAGGTGGTTTCTCTATCCTTCTGTTTCTCTCTGCCTCCCCCTCCCTCTCTCTGTCTCTTTCTCCCTCTTTCCCTTCCTCTATTCCTCCTCCCCTTCTACATAGTCACATATACTTACTGAAATCTGTAGCCTGGAGGAACCTGGAATTCCTTCAGGGGCCCCAGATTTCAGAGTCTCTGCCACTATACAATGGAGTGTGGAGGTGGGGGCCCCCATCTGTGTTACTGGAGCTACTTTGAGGAACCGGAGAATTTGTGGGATCAGGACAAAGTACCCCAGGGCCCAGGGCCCTGTAAGCCTTGAGCCTGATGAGATTCTAGTCTTTATTGGGAACCAAGGCACTGTAGGTGACCTTGATGCCAATGTTGTACTCCTGGTTGGTGGCATTGTCCTGGGAATGTTGGAGGGCCGAGCAATGATGTCACTGGGCTGCTGGTCGGTGATAACATACTGGGAATGCTAGAGAGCTGGGCAATGATCACTAAGACTGCTGGTAGCCTGAGTGATTATATTACATGGGGACCACTGGTGGTCTGAGTAGTGATGTCATTTTAGGACTTCTGGAAGACAAGATGATGGTATCATGATGTTACTGTTGGAGATTTGGGCTGTGATGTCACACAGGGTATACTTAGAGAATGAAATAGGGGCCACTGGATTCAGGGATGAGAAGATCATAGAATAAGATGGAGTGCAGTGGAAGCCCCAGTTAAATGAGAGTTTTCTGTGTTCTTCCACTGTGGTTTTGGCATTTAGGAAACACATAGTCTAGCCATGATTAGAAGCTGTGATCTTGGGACTCCTAGCTGGCTCAGTCAGTAGAGCATGATGCAACTCTTGATCTCAGGGTTGTGAGTTCAAGCCCTACATTGAGTGTAGAGCTTACTTAGAAAAGAAAAGAAGAGAAAAGAAAAGAAAAAAGAAAAGAAACTGTGATCTTTATGTCAGGAGGGCTCATTTGGTTACAAGTAACAGAGGCCACTAGAGGTGGGTTAAGAAACAGGGACTTATTGTCAGGATGCATATGGCTTGGGAACTAAGATAGGTCTAAGGTCTTTGTGTGATTGATTGTTCTCTGTGTCCCTGTCTCTTGAAATTCATGTTTCTCTATACCAGGAGTTTCCCCTTATCGTGCTTGACTACCCTATCCCTTACATGTTCTCTAGTCCAGATTCTGGAGAGATTAGACTGGTTTTCCAGTCACCACCACCACATTAAGTCTGGTATCCCTTCCTTTCTCCACTTACATGTGAATACCATATTAGTACAGTGTAATTTCAGTGATAAACAAGATATTGCATAAGGCAAACACCATGTGATGGGTCTGATGCACTCAGGCACACTATTTCTCCCCTCTGGCCTCAGTTTCCCCATCTATAAAATTCTGGAGCTGTAAGTCCAGCCTATAGTCTCAGTGGTTCTGTGAGCAGGCCAGAGGTGTCCTCACTACAGAATTATTAAGCCAGGCTAGGGTTTCCGACCTTCCTTTTGTCGTTTCACTGGTCATGAAGATATTGTGTACACAAGCAGGGGCAGGGGGTGCTTAAAGTTTGTCTAGAGAAAGTGAGTCACCACTGCTGTACCTCAAGGGGCCAGGTCCTATGCCACAGTAGGAGCAAGTGCGAGGGTCATACCTGCCTTTGCCCTTTGGTGAAATAAGGAGAGCATCTGAGTACTCAGTCCAAGCATCTCAGTCACCCACTTACTCATGCTTTCATTCACTCTTTTGTCCACCCACTCACCTTTGTGCTTACCCACTAATCCTGTCAGTCTTGCCCAGCATCAAGGACAGATTGAACATTAAGGGCATCAATAGTTTTCCTGTGGCCTGGCAGTTACCACTGACTACCCATGGAGGGGCTGGCCTCATTCAGCTGCAGGGTCTGGCTCTCTCATCAAACTAAGGACTGCTGAGGGTAAGCCCACATAAACAGTGCAGTGTCTCTGTCCCTGCCACAGTCCAGCCCAAGGGGAGGCTCAGTCAGGTGCTCAGGATTTGTGTGATGAAGAAAAGGAGTTACAAGTGACTGTCACGCTGCCCAGTTCAAGCCCTGCATGATCTGGGTGGGGTACTTCCTTCAGCAGCTACAAATCTCTCCCTTTGAGAGTCATCCCTCAGGGCCATACAGAAGGAGCCCTACAGGGTGAGGGACTGCCAACTCCCTACTGGCTTTGAGATAGTACCAGGCATAGGGTGACCCACTTGGCTCCAGAGGATCTAGAAGCCCCCAGCTCCTCCTCTTTGTGGGAGGTTCACTTTCTCCAGAACATAACCATGTTCCTTCCTGAACCACTGTGTGCCCTCCCCATGGCTCAAGCTGCACCCTGGAACCTTCCACTGGAGGGGCAACTCCCTCCTTGCACACGAAGCCTCCTTTGCAAGTGATCACTGGAGGGGTTCCCAATGGGAATCCCAGAGTTGGTGAGGATTAGCAAGGGAAGGTGGGCTCCCCCATAGAGAGCTGCTGTGGTGAGCATGCCAGCTTGCCTCAGCTTCCAACTCTACCCACCTAAGATCAGCCTGGCTCCTGGCTACATCCTGCTCCCTAGTGCTGGCTCCCAGTGTGTACCAACTGATGTTTTCAGAGTGCCTGGGTTGGGGGTGTCTGGTAACTGTAGCCAAGCTTATGTCCAGAGCCCAGGGAACCCAATCCAGACTGTCCCTGAGCCCAGCCCAGGCACTTACTCCCTTGAGTAAGGGGCAGCATTAGGAATAGGACAGAAAGAATGACTCATCGAGACTAGTCAAATTGGAGTGTCCTCCTTATTTTTCCCACCCATGGGCTCCAGACTTCAGGACTGGCCACCTTGTCTGGACGGCCCAGGCCTGCAGTTGCCAGGGACAAAAGAGGTAGCCCGGCAGAGAAGGGAGGACAGCCCTCATCTCAGCTAAAAGTCTCCCTTAGCATAGGGTCCCTGAGATGGGGGGCTGCTCTAGACTTCCTCTTCTGAGCTTGGGAAGGGTCCTGGACTGGTGGCAGGAGAGCTAGACTTGAGGGATGAGACTATAATGTTCAGTGACTACATTATGAGGATAGGTGCCACATGAGCAGAGAATGAAAGTAAGCAGGAGGCTCCCCACTGACACGAGACAGGCAGGGAGGGGGATGAGTGGTCCACTGTTGATGACCAAAAGCTGTGCTCAGGCCAGAAGGATGACACAGAAGGATGACCGGCTGTCCTGGGACCTCTCAATTCTGGGAGCATGCCTATAGCTAGGGTGCAGACTGCAGCTGGGGACTGTGGCACTAGAGGGTATGGGAAGATGCCCATAGGTGGCTAATTTTGTAACTTGTAGAGACAATTCCATGTTAGTCCAAACTGAACTCCTTTCCTGGGCTGGGCGTGGGGAACACATGGGCATTATCCAGGCATCTAAGGACAACCACCTGCCCCTGGGCTGGGCTCCTGAACCCTCTCTGAGGTTACTGCTCCGTCCCAAGCCCACACACATTCTTCACCTAGAAGCTCTGAGCTTGCATCCATCTTTCCTGTACCCCAGGGAGATTAAGGAGAATGATTGTCCGTCCCTCAGATAAGCCTGGTCAACTTATCTGTTGGACCCTCCCATGAAGCCTAAGAAGGGGTAAGTCAGGTCTCCTGGTTCCATTTCCGAGAGAGAGGAGATGAAGCCCAGAGAGGAATCCCACTCTCTCTGACAAGCAGAGCAGGCAGATCTTGTCCATCCAGTGGGGGAGGGGCATGGGGGTCAGCTGAATCCTACCCCAGCCTGGCTTCTTCCCTGGGACAGATGACTTCATGAAGCAGAGCCGGGGCATGCTGCTGCTCTACAGCATGAAGAACCCCAGCTTCCCTGAATACATCTTCAGCAGCGAGAGTGGCATCATGTGTCTTGACATGCACGTGGACCACCCTTACCTGGTGGTGGTGGGCCACTACGACGGTAATGTGGCCATTTACAACCTCAAGAAGCCCCACTCCCAGCCCTCCTTCCGCAGCTCACCCAAGTCTGGCAAGCACACGGACCCTGTGTGGCAGGTCAGCCTCGAACCAGGATTGGGAAAAACGGGTATAGGATCCCTGGAGGAGGGACCTTGTGGAGGACAGGCCATAGGCAAGCTTAGAAGCCAAGGAGCTGTGAGAAGGTGCAGAGGAGGGCAAAAGGTGGTTATTAGGAGGTAAGGGGTCTGCAGTGAGCTTGGGTCTGCTCCTCCAGTGCTGCTATCAAGAGGGCCCGCATCTGTCTGCTAAGGGTCTCTTAGGTGCAGTGATCAGTGACTCATAGCCCATGGCTAGAAGACTCTAAGACCTCACAGACATACTCGGCTGAGTATGTCAAGGGCTCCAGTTCTCCAGTTCCCTGTGTATGGGCTTCCTAAACTCCCCATGGGGGCTCTCCTCTGCCATCTGGGCTAGATTTGGGGGCACTCCCAGACAGGAGTAGGTGCTGCCCATTGTTTGCCCTCTGGGTGGGGCTGTAAGGCCTGGTAGGTAAGGTCTGTCCCTGAGGCCTCTCTGTAGCATCGCTCTTCTCCAGACAGGCATAGGATGGGACCATTACCCTGACACTAGGGCTAGATTTCACCCTATGTTCCCCATGTTATCGCACTAGGAGTGGATTTCATGTTTCATCTTCAGAAAGTCTCTTAGCTCTGGCTTTGCAGACCCTTCCTTACTGTATTCCAAAAGTCCCCCTCCTTCTGAGGCTGCATACCCTTACCCATGGACAGGTCTGGGGAAATCCAAGGATAAATTTCTGCCTTAAGTCCCCCCAAGATCTCTGGGCTCCTCAGGCAGTGCTGGGACTCTGTCCTCTCATCTTCCTCAGCCCCCTGCCCTAGTAGAGTCTCCAGGCAGGCTCTGCATCCCTGCATTTCTGGCCCTGAGCTACCTGAGTCATGTGGACACCTGCCTTAGGAACTGGCTCTCATCTCCCAGACAGGCCTGAGCAGAGGGAGGACTGTCCAGGCACAAGGGACATGGTGTCCTCTCCACTCTATCTTTTACCCAGAGTCAGGGCTCAGATGTCCCCTTCCATAAGACATCCTCCCCCCTACTCTCCACCAGAGCAGGGGCCAAAACTCACAATCTCAAGAGTTCTCTCCTCTGAAAATCCTACCTTCTAGTTCATTGCCTCCAGGCACATGGAGGTCTCCAGACAAGGGGAGGCTATCTGCAGACATCAAGACCCAAGAGAGGAGAAAAGACCTGCTTAGATCAGACTAAACAAGCATCAGGCCTGCCCCTGCTGTCCTGGCTCACACAGCCCAGAGCAAAGCACAGAGCATCTCTGATTGGCCTGACCACCCTTCTCAAGCCCAGGAGAGGGCAAGGGGCCAAGGTCAACCATCCCACTGCCACACTGCTATGTTCTCTGAATCAGACAGCAGGTTGGGAAACGAAATGGGGCATGCAGAAGACACGTTATTTCTTTCACTGGGTGGGTGCCAGACAGACTGGAACCCACCCAGACAGGGATGGCCTTCTGCTCTCCCACCATCCTGTCAGGAAAGCAGGGCTACTACCTTTGCAAAACCAAAGACTCAAGAGTTCTTGGCAGGAATCATGGCTTTTGACATGGGAGGGGCCTTCCTGTCTCGCTCATTTCCTGACTTCTTATTCCCTTTTTTCCCTCCCCCTTGCCTCATTCATCTCAGTAACTCCTCTCTGTTTGCTCCTCTGGGAGCTGAGGGTGCTTAAGGGTTTGGTCCCTGGGGTTCCTACCGGGGCGATAACCACAGCCATAGGCTAGGCAGGACAAGGCAATATGCTAAATGCTAAAGAGGGCTCATGGGAGCACTGAGGAGCGACATCTAGATTATCCAGGACAGGGAGCAGGGGCAGGAGCATCAGGTCTTCCTAGAGGAAGAAACACCTGAGCTGAATTGTAAGGGGTGAGAAAGTATTAGTTAATGACAATTAAATATAATATGAGATCCTAGGACCAAAAAAAAGGATATTAGGAGAAAACTAAGAAAATCGAATGAAGTATAGATTTTAGTTAAAATAGTATTAGTTAGATAAGGAAGGGTACAAAGGGGTTACATGTGCAATACACAGAGGCATCAAACAGCATGGCCTGCTGGGAAGCAACACACCATTTGGAGCACAGTGCGGGAGACAGGGAGGATCTGGGAAAACACAGGCACCCAGTTGTGAGTATGCGTCTCTAGCAAGTGGGAATCTTGGACTTTAAGGCAGTGGTTTCATGAAGTGTTAGTACAGAATTCCAACATATTAACAGTGGGGGGTGGGGCTGCTTTGGTGAATCAAGGTCCTGCTGGCTTGAGCGTCCCCTGTTGTCACTCCTGTCCTCTAAGATACTTTCACAAGGTTCCTAAGACCATCAGAGAGTGTGGGGGCAGAGGAGTAACACAGTCATGCTTGTGTCTTGGAGATGTTCTCTCACTGCAGCATGAGAGATCTTGAAACTTGAGCTAGAGCAGGGGCAGTGGAGATAGAAATGAGAAGGTATGCTCGAATGCTGTTGAGGCAATAAAATCAATAGAAGGAAACTAGGCAGATATGAGAAAGGGGAACAATTGGTGATGCTACCTGGCACTCTGGTTGGGAGTACCCAGTAGAGCATCCACAGAGGTAGGAATGCCAGAGCAGGAGCAGGTTTAGGCAGAATCCAAGAAGCTAAAGGAACACCTAAAATTAATATAACACCATACATTATTTATAATTAAATACATACATATGTACATATATACATACATAAAAATTTTTTTAAAAGCCAGAGGAGGTGTCCTACAGGCAGTTGGTTGTATAAGCCTGGAGCCTGGAGGAAAGCTTAGGCTGGTTAATGGTATGCCAGAGACATCAGAGTCTAGGTCCTTTTTAAAGGGACTGTGTCTCAGAGGAGACCAGAGAGGTTATTTTGGATCTCAAATGCCAGGCTGAGATAGAAGGACTTTGTTCTGTTAGCAGCAGGGAGCCATCGAAGATTTTGGAGCCAGGGAGAGAACTATCTGTTCAAAGGGGACTGGGTTCCTGCCCCATGGCACAGACTAGTTCCCAAGCGAGCCCATCTAGGTAGCCCAGCACTATTCAAGCCCCACTGTGAAGCCTCAACCAGCAACACTCTTTGGAGTGCGTGTGTGTCCTGTGCTATACTGCGGAAGGGCACCGGGAAGGATAGATGAGCAGAGATGGGGGTCAAGTATATTTGCCCTGATCAGATAAGGCAGAAGAGAAGGAATCAATTAAGCAGGCTTCATCTGCTCCTTACTACCTTATCAATTTCCTGGTCATTCTTTCCTTCTCTTAACCCCACTTACCACCTGACACCCCCACCCCCCCACCCCCGCCACCATTTACACTACCACCTCCACCCCAGGAACATGTGTTTGACTTGTACACACACACACACACACACAGAGGCTCACTTGCAAATATACACAGCAACCCCCATTGGGCATCAGGCTGCTAAGTGGGGTGTGAAATACAATTTCCATGCATGCTGGCGGCTGCTCATTAAACACTTCCCTTTGCAGCTCCCTAGCGCCTCTTACAGCCTGGCCTTTGACACCCCCTGTCCCCTCCCCCCTTTAAAGAGACTACCTTTACACAGAAGGGGAATTGGTCTCAGGCTAAGGGCCAGCTCTGACTTATACCTCAGAGGCTCTGTGATATTCTAGGCCCCCCAGTGGAAAAAAGAACCAGCTGACAGGACAGGCCCAGGCAGGACTGGGTCCGCCCTCCTGTAGCTCTGATCAGCCAGGCCTGGGGGTTGGTTGGGGACAGTCCATCCCCTCTCCCCTAAACCACGCCCCTCAACAGCCATGGTGACAGCTCTGGTCACAGGAAGCTGAGCTGGGTTCTAGACTCCCTCACTGGGCCTCTACTTATGACAGGGGGAAGGGACAGGGTCCCAGCATGGGAGGTCAGGAGAGAGCTGGAGTATGGAAAGCTCTGGGCACCCAGCCCCACCCTAGCTCTCTGGGACACAGCTTGGCCAGGCCTCCACATCTGGCAACAGAAACTTGAGCCTCAAGCGTGTCATCTTCATAAGACAACAGCTCTGTCTCCAAAACACTTTCCCATATGTTTTCTTCCAGCCCTGAGAAGATGGGTGGGGCACAGTTATTAACCCCAAGTTGCAGATGCAGAAATGCAGCTCAAATCTGAGATTTGGGAGCACGATTCTGGGAGCAGGAGCTCGTAGTGAAGTGAAGGTGGGAACAGAGGAGAGACCACCTAGAGAAAAGCCCACCTGGAAGCGGAGAGCAGGGGTGGGGACCTTCTCCTACTTGTCCCCCAAGCGAGCAGGAAAAACTCTCCTGCAGAACCTTGGCTCCCTGATTCCTAGGATGAGGGTCATAATGAGGATATTCGCTAACATTTATTGAACATTTAATAGTTGCAATGTTCTCTCATCAGGGCCTCATGTTCATTGTCTCATTTAGTCCTTACAACAAACCTGTGCTATTACAGTTCCTAGTTTATAAATGAGGAAACTGGTTGATGGACTCTGTCCTTTCCAGGCCCTTTCTACATAAGGAGGTTGAGACCAGAGACACCATCTTCCCCTACAACTGGCTCTGGAACCCAACCCAGGGAGGAATTGGGCACCTCCAACACCAAGCCAGGGCATTAGGGCAGTGCCCTGAGTGGCATTGTTATCCCAGGATGGTCAGGGAGAGAGGGATAAGAGAGACAGAGATGGGTGGAAGGAGGGAGGGAGGGAAGGCCAATTGCAGGACCCTGGGAAATGGGCTCCCAGAACTTGCTTCTGAACCTGACATGGACTCTTGAGGGAGCCCTGCTCAGCTCCCAGCCCTAACTCGACACCATACCAGTGTCCCACAGCTCACGGTTTGGGATGTTTCAGGTCAGGTGGCAGAAGGATGATATGGACAACAACCTTAACTTCTTCTCTGTGTCATCTGATGGCAGGATTGTGTCTTGGACGCTCTTAAAGGTGCCTGTTTCCCAGAAAGGGTCATATGGGGTGGAGATGGGGCTTGGGGGGAGCTGAATGGCAAAGTCTGCTCTCAACCCTGCTGATGTGGTCCCACCCATGTACCCTCCCCCATCCCTTGTGACTGCAGAGCGAACTGGTTCACACAGATGTCATCAAACTGAAAGTGGAGGGCGGTACCACGTATGGTCTCGATGGGTTGCAGCTACACACAGTGGGTAAGATCCCCAGCCCACTCACACCCAGGCCCGGCCACCTCACTCAGGCCTCATGAGGGTCAGAGATGGTAGCCCTCCCCCTTTACCGAGCAATCCCTCCTCCACTTGTGCTGGATGGAAGTCTGGCCCTGTCCTCCCAGTGCTTGGCTGTTTGCAGACCCTCTCTGTTTATGCAGGTCCCATCCCAGTTTGCAGACCCTGTTCCTGTTTATGCAGATCAGGTGCTGTTATGCAGATCCAGTCCTGTTTATGCAGATCATGCCCCTGTTTACCCAGATCCTGTCCCTGTTTACTCAATTCCTACCCTGTTTATGCAGAGTATATCCATGTTTGCATAGACCATGTCCCTGTTTGCAGACCCTGTCCCTGTTTACCCTGACCCTGACCCTGTTTAAATCAATTCCTTCCTTGTTTACCCAGGCCCCATCCTGTCTGCAAAAGCACTGGCCGTTTGCAGTCCCAACTGCCTGGGACAAGCAGCAGGCCAGGCGGCCGGTTTCTGTTTGCTTGCCTAGCCCCAGCCCCTGCAAGAGCCTGCAAGAGCCAGAGCTCTGGCTGTCACAGGGGTCTGCTGGGTAAAGGAGGTGCTGGCAGCCTCCCTCCCAGAACCGGTCTAACACTGCTGTACCTCTTCTCCCAAGGCTGTGGCACCGCCTTTGACTTCCACAAAGAGATCGATTATATGTTCCTAGTGGGCACAGAGGAAGGAAAAATCTACAAGGTGAGGCAGCACTGACCTGAGAACCACGAGAGTTTATCCTTCTCAACAGACCCTATTCTGACAGATCTTAGGGTTTGACCAGTTCTAGAAAGCTTCTTGGGAGAAGAGAAGGTATTTCTTGACTTGTTTCGGTGGCAGGAAGAGTGGATGACTGCAGGAAAGAGGATGAAAATCTAGACGGTGACTTTAGCCCAGTCTGGCACATTTCCCTCTGGGCCCTCCCTCCCTTCCTAGGAGTAGAGGAAGTAGAAGTAGGAGTGGGTGTTGGGGGGGAGTTGGAACATTCTGAGAAGACTTCCTGGAAGAGATGAGAACTTCAGCTGAGCTTTGAAAGCCAGGTAACAAGAAAATTAATCTCTGAATCCTGGGTGTCCCAGCCAGTAGGATGGAACTTCAAGGCCAGTTTCTGCAAGGTCTCAGTGTTAGTAGGTGAACATCCTTCTGAACCTCCATCCATCCAGAAATAGCTCTGCTGCAAGCTTTTCTTAGGCTCAAAGACTCAGAATGTTAATTACAGGCAGCCTCCCGGGAGCCCCTAAGGCCCAGCAGGAGCTGGTCTGAATGCAAAAGAGGTCCCCACCCCCCTGTACACCCCTCCCTATGGCAGCGTGGGAGAGGCAGAAGGGAAGAGACTAGTCAGTCACACTATCTCCTGGAGGGAGAGAGGGAAGGGCATGATGGTCTGGGCAAGAAACCCAATGGGAAGTCATGAGTTGGGACTTGCTTCTGGCTCTGCACCTGCTCTTACCTGGGCAAAGTGGAATGTTTATCACAATTGCGAGGATTCTATAGGCTGTGAGTGGACTCAGGCCTTGGCCTGGACAAAGGCTAAGGCACACGTCACCAGGGCCCCCAGGCCTGCTTGGCCTTGGTTCCCAGAGAGAAGGCCTTTTCTACTTGGCCTGGAATCCTCTGGGCAGACTACAGCACTGTCTCTCACCCTCCAGGAAAACTCCCTACCCACCCAACCCCCAGCCCATTAAGCCCCTCCTTCCTTTCTTTCTTTCTTTCTTTCTTTCTTTCTTTCTTTCTTTCTTTCTCTTTCTTTTTTTTAATTTCTTTTTTTAACGTTTATTTATTTTTGAGACAGAGACAGACAGAGCATGAATGGGGGAGGGTCAGAGAGAGGGAGACACAGAATCTGAAACAGACTCCAAGCTCTGAGCTGTCAGCACAGAGCCCGACACAGGGCTCGAACTCACGGACCGCGAGATCATGGCCTGAGCCGAAGTCGGCAGCTTAACCGACTGAGCCACCCAGGCGCCCCCCCCCCTTTCTCTCTAGTGTTGAGAGCACAGAGAAGAGCAGCCAGTAGCTTAGTCCCATTTCAGCGGTGACAATAATGTGGGGACAGAAGAGGAGTCTTATTCTGACCCTCCAGGGCACCCAGGGAAGTGTGGTGGCTGCTGACCTCTCTCTCATTCCTGACCCCCCCACCACCCTCACCCTTGCCCCAGTGCTCTAAATCCTACTCCAGCAAATTCCTTGACACCTATGATGCCCACAACATGGCAGTGGATGCTGTGTCCTGGAACCCATACCACACCAAGGTCTTCATGTCCTGCAGCTCCGACTGGACAGTGAAGATCTGGGACCACACCATCAAGTGAGACACATGCCCTCCCTCAGGCCGCACTGTGGGCTGGGGCCACCGGGGCTCTAGCACCATGAGCCCTCTGTATGGCAAACTTTCTACCCCTCCACCACTGCAGGACCCCGATGTTCATCTATGATCTAAATTCAGCTGTGGGCGATGTGGCCTGGGCACCATACTCTTCTACTGTGTTTGCAGCAGTTACCACCAATGGGAAGGTGAGTGCCCCAGCCAACCCTCTACTAGAGATAGGATGAAGTATCTCAGGGGCTCCCTCTTAGCCCACAGAGTACCCTGCTCAGGTAGGGGAAGGTGGGACATAAGGATTCTGTATTCTCAAGGGTTAGGAAACCCAGAGCCCTATCAAAAAAAGAATCATTCAGCCCATGAGGCCTCAAGGAGAAAATGGTGCTGTTCATCTTAAATGAGAGAACACTCTGGGGGATAAGATGCCATGAGGAGCAGTTATCTTCTCTGAAGGTCCTGGGGAGGGAGCTACAGGATGGCAGGGACAACCCTGATGTAAGGGAAACTTCTGAGCCAGAGGTTATCTGTGATTGAAATAATGTCTAAAAGGTAGCAAATTCCTCATGCCTGAGAGTGTGCAAGCTGAGTCTGAGAAGGGGAGATGAGAGGGGTCTGTGTAACACTGAGAATTGGTAAAAGCTCAGAAACAAACATTTTTTGAGAAAATTCTTGGATACAAATCCATTTTTCCTTATGGACTTTGATATAAACTCAGAGGCAACTACTCAAGGAAAGACTATAGTTTAAGGCATCACCCTAAAGTCAATCAGTCATCTATTTGCTGAACAGAATTTTACTAAGGGCCCAGCACCAGGCAATTCAGGTCGCTATTGTTCTAAGAGTTCACATTCTTGTGAAGGGACAGAGAAAAAAAGCAACAACAAAAATAGTGTTAAGTGCTAGGCAGAGATTGAAAGAGGAGTATGTGTGTACACAGTGTTCATAGCAGTATTCATAGTAGCCAAAGAGTGGAACAATCCAAACATCCATCAATTGATGAATGGATAAACAAAATATGGTATATCAAAAAGATTATTATTCAGCAATAACAAGGAATGAAGTATTGGATACATGCTACAACATGGATGAACTTGAAAACGTGTTTAGTGTAAGAAGTCAGTCACAACCACACACTTGCAGGATTCCATTTATATAGGTCTAGAATAGGCAAAGCTATAGAACCAGAAAGTAGATTTGTGGTTGCCTAGGGCTGGGGGTGTGGGAGAAAATGGGAAGTGACTGCTAATGGTACAAAGGTTCTTTTGGGGTGATGAAAATGTTCTAAAATTGGTTGTGGTGATGGTTCCATAACTGTAAATATACTAAAAACCAAGAATTGTATACTTGAAGTGGGTAAATGTTTTTGTATGTGAATTATATCTCAATAAAGTTATTATATTTTTTTAAAAGAGAGAGAAAAGGGGCACCTGGGTGGCTCAGTCCATTAAGCACTCAACTCTTGGTTTTGGCTCAGGTCATGATCTCACAGTTCATGAGTTCAAGCCCCACGTCAGACTCCACAATGACAGTGCAGAGCCTGCTTGGCATTCTCTTTCTCTCCCTCTCTCAAAATAAACAAACTTAATAAAAATAAGTCATTACTTGAAGAAAGTTTTAAAAAGAGAGAGAGAGAGAAAGGGAGTGATGTAAAGAAAAGGACTGGTCTCTTAGAGTCGTCAAGGAAAGCTTCTTCAAATGGTAACATTCAAGCTGAGAGCTGAATGATAAGAGCTGGCCCTGTGTGAAGACAGAGAGAAGCATTCCAGACAGAGGGAATAGCTAGTGCAAATGCCCTGAGGTGAGAATGAGCTTGAAGGTGTTTAAGGAACAAGCAGGCAAATATGGCTGGGTCTAGGAAGCAAAGGAGAGAGCAGGAAGTGAGAGTGGAGAGCGGAGAATCTGGAGTCAGGAATTTGGATTGTATATATACTGCCAAGGGAAACTATTGGAAGATTTTAGATTTTTTAAAGGTAAGTTGAGAGGCTGCCTGGAGCATGGATTGTAGAGGGGCAAGAGCGGAAGCAGAGAGATCCATTAGGAAACTGCCACAGTTGTCCAGGCAAGAGTTACTAATGGTCTGGACTTAGGGAATGGTAAAAATAAGATCAAATATTTGTTGAGCACTTACATGACAAGTGCAGTCTGAGCACCTCACATATATTAAACCCTCGCATATGACATAAACCCTGGCTCTGCCACTTAATAGCAAGTTAGCCTTAAGGGCCTCTATCTCCTCATTTATAAAATGGGGATAATAACAGGACCTACCCTATAGAGTGGCTGTGAGGATTATTAGGTGTACAACTATGTAACATGATCCTACAAAGTCTGGTACATAGTAAGTGTTCAACAAATGGTAGCTGCCATTATTGTTAATTCTGCATAAATTTTCTAAGCTTTTTATTCTCATTCCCTCAACCACAGGAAAATGTAATCAGAGACACAAATTCCCTCTCCCACTGTCTCCAGCTCCAGTGTGCTAGACTTCTGATGTATTTCCCCAGAAAACTCATGTGCTAGTTCTTCTGAAGTGGGGGACAGGGTCCCCATTATCCTTGAGTATGCTGACACCCACCTCTCCACAGACTCATGTGTTTGACTTGTCCATCAACAAGTATGAGGCCATCTGCAACCAGCCTGTGGTGGCCAAAAAGAAGAATAAGATCACCCACGTGCAGTTCAATCCCATCCACCCTATCATCATTGTGGGTGATGACCGTGGGCACGTCACTTGCCTCAAGCTCTCACCCAACTTGCGCAAGATGCCAAAGGTACAGGCTTGGGTAGTATGGGCTACTGTAAGAAATAAAGTTTCCAAGATGGTGGGGGTTGAGAAAAAGGGGAGGAGCCAGGAGGTGACCCGGCCCCCCCCCCCCCCCGTTTCTGGCTTGGGAAATGCAGGGTAAGGGTGGTGTCATTGCCCAAATAAGGAGCACAAAAGAGGTAGGTTTGTGGAGAGACAATGAGATCAGTTTTGAAATGCTGAATCTAAGTTACCTGGGGGGCTCCCACGTAGAGACATCCAGTAAGCAGGTGACTATCTGGGTCCAAAGCCTGGGGAAGCACGTGGACATCATCAGCTTATTTGGTGTAGACCAGGTTATCCAGGCAGGGGGCTTGGAGCTTAGTCACTTAGTCATTGGCTGGGCTTAAAGGGCCTCAGCTCCAGTGGTCCCTGAGCTGGGAGCTGCGGGTCCACACAGGGAAAAAGGTAAAAAGGAAAAGAGGGTAACTAGGTCAGCAGCTAGGCAGTCCTCCTTTTGAGTTCTGGTTCCTTTCTGAGATCTGTACTGATCTGGAGACGGTGCCCAGAGCCCAAAGGCCCTGAAAACAGGCCATGAAACCTAGAGCCAGGACCTCAAAGTCTAGATCTCAGAGTCCTGATTCAGATATAAGAGTCCAGGCCTTAGAATCCAGAGCCCAATAACCCAGAGCCCAGTCCTGCCCATTTGGGTGCTAAGAGAGGATATGGAATTTGTTTTCTGCCGGGTTCTAGGCCAGGATCAGAGCTGGGCCAGGGCTGGACCAAGTTGTCCTGATGACTACACCTCTTGGTTGCAATATGGGGCATTTATTTGCAGTTTGAGGCAAGGGCAGGCCTCTTTCAACTACCGATACCTGCCTCCTTGCACCCTTACCAAGGCAGGGGCTACAGCAATGTACCTCTGGTACCTGCCTCATCTATTCCCCACAATGACCAGAAGGCAAGGACTGGGAGTTTGGCCGGGCCTGTAATTGTAGCCAGCTGGGGGAGGGGGTGGACTTGGCTATAAATACTCAGAAGGCTGCTAAGCGCCTGCAGCTGTGGCCTAGAGGCTGTGGTGGGCTGGGAATGGGGTGGGGTGGGATGGGATGGAGGAGTTGGGCATGGTCTGAAGCTCTTTGCTGAGCCCAGCTAGTTGGCCTCAAGGAGGAGGGAAGGAACAGATAAAATCTGATCTTAATTTAGTGAGGAGAGAGACTGAAGATTGAGCTGGCAGAGCTGGACAGCCCAGTGAGAGATAAGGGTACAACCATCACACCATGAAGATGGTAGATCTGAGGGTGGGGAGGGCTACCCTGCCCACTCTGACCCAGGGAGGCAAGGATCTCCCATAGTCCCAACTCCTCTCAGAGCAAGGGTCAGTCATAGCTAAGGGAGCTGGGCTCTGTATATCCGGCGACCTGTATCTCTGAAGACCTGAGGAAATAGATGCCCGGGGAACAGAGGACCTGAGCAGGTGACACAGCTGAGGGCTAGTACTTCAGTGGATTAGAGGTTCCTGTGAAACCGTCATCTGATCCTATCAGTAGTCAAGTGATTTGTGCAAAAGGAAGTCTTCTGGGCATCCCTACCCCGCCCCCGCCCCTCTTTGGGCTTTAGTCTCCCTGCCCTTCTCAGGAGGGCTTGGCCACAGAGGCCCAACTTCCTGACCCGTGAAGCTTCCCCTAATTGGTGTCAGAGCACAACTTGTCAGAGGTCAAAGACTATCTTTCCCTAACTACAATATAGATGGGAAACAGAAGCCCAGAAAGGCAAGGGACTTGCCCAAAGTCATATAGGGAATTAATGACAAAGCTGAAACTAAAAGCCACGTCCTGAAATTCCTAGGGGATGGGGTGAAGCCAAGAAGACAGCACTAACTTGATTTGGGAGGGAGAGTAGTTAGAGAGAAAAAGACATCTTTATCCTCTGCCTAGAGAGTGTAGAGGTGAACTGGGCAGTGGCAAAGGCACTGGGCCACAAGGGGAGAGGGAGACAGATTTCGGAGCAGGTGCAGCAATCACACCAAGAGGAAATCTAAGATCTGCGTGGTGTCAGCGGCCCGGATGGGGCCAGGAAGGGGCTTGCTGGCCATGTACTCTCTCCCCTCCTCACAGCCCAGGCCAAACCTAGGCTGGGCCCTCAGCAGGCAAGGCTGGAGCAGGTGCCAATGAGCAGTGGGCACAGGTGGCTGAGAAGGCAGGGGAGGGGGCTCAGGAACAGAGGGAAGGCAGGAAATGGCAGCTGCCCCAGCCTAGCCCATATCCTGCTGCCTGAACAGAAGGGAGTATGGAACTAGTGCTGGTCTGCCATAGAGCTCTTGGGGCCTGTGAGTTACACATACCCCAGTGTCCCAATTCTCTTTTTCTCAGGGCAGTAGAGTGCCCTGTGGACCGGGGTGAGGGGTCATAAATTTAGGATCTGCTCTTCTGAGGAACAGTCGCACCTAATGACATCTGGAATCACATGGGGTATCTCATTTGCCCTCCTGGGTCTCTTGACAACCTCCTCCACCCTGGGTATGTCTGATACAGCAGACCTGGCCCCAAATGTCACTCCGCTCCAAACCTGATCTGAAAGTTTTGGTACTAGGTGAGGGCACCTGTGGCTTTGTCCACACCTCTCTCCCTCAGCAAACACCCATCTTTTAGTTCCTTGTTAGGACTCAGCCAGGGACACTCCTGTGGAAGGGTGGTCCCAACAGTCAGAGCCCTCACCTCTCTCCAGAGCTACAGCCCTCCCTAGCCTGAATGGCTAGTTCCTGTGAGGGTCAGTGGGTGGAAACCTTCTCCCAGCATCAAGACCCTTTGTTGATCTTAGATTCAGAGCCACACCTAGATTCTTGAGGGCCCCAGCTGAGCCCATGTCTCCTAACCTGAGTTGGGGAAGGACCCTGTGGGGGTGGGGAGAGGTGGGGATCCAGTATCTAACTGGGTGGAAAAGTGGTGGGACAAAGCTGGGGCAGGCTGGGCAGAGGCAGAGGTGGGACCCAGAGAAAGGTGGCCCACCCCTCACCATTCCTCCCCCACATGTACTCCCCCCACTCCAGGAAAAGAAGGGGCAGGAGGTACAGAAGGGTCCAGCTGTGGAGATCGCAAAATTGGATAAACTGCTGAACCTGGTGAGGGAAGTGAAAACAAAGACCTGAGGGCCTGGTCTCAGTCCCTGTCCCATTTCTTGAACCCAGTACTTGTAACCCCTGACCCTGGTACCTAAGCCCAGCCTTAGCACCAAGTATGTGACCCAACCCCTGATCAGGTCCCAGTATCTACCCTTAGCATCTCCTTCAGCCCTGGTCCCAGCACCTCACCCCAGGACTCAGCCCTCAACCATTATTGCATCCTACTCTACACAAATAAACCTGTGTCTGGAAACTCACCCCACACCTTTAATTTTTCTACCACAGAGTCCCCAGGAAGAGGAGGGAATCTCAGGTTAGAGCCATAGTTCCATTTATTATCCAGCAAACAGTGGGAGGACCCAAGGAGGGGCCCAGCCTGGACACCCTCCCATTATTGCCATGGATTCCAGTTTGCTTCCCCAACGTCAAGGGCCTGGAGGCGATTGGCCTAGGGAGAGGTGGACCCAACCCGTGGCCCTCAGTATGGAGCAGAGTCGAGGTGGCCCTGGCCCTAGCACCAACTCATTGATCCCCACCCCAGGCCTGTCTACCTGGGGCCACCAGAGCCCCTCTTGGAGCGAGGCTGGCTAGACTCTGGGCTGCTAGGTCCAGCTCCAGACAGGCTGGATTCTGGGTTCTGGACCCCAGGCTGGCTAGACCCTGGGATCCTGATTCCAGGCTCTGGGTGGGGTAGACTTAGGTCCCAGACTCCAGGCTAGGTGAGGGGCCTTCAGGGCTGCAGCAGGTAGCTGCCTTCATGGCTGGGCTTCTGGGGTGGGGGTGCCTTCTCAGGACACGGGCCAGGGCTGGAGTTGGGACTGGATTCAGAGAGGGAGTCGATGTCCGCAGAGCGGGAATGGCAAGCCCAGCAGAGAATGACCCAGAGCAGCAGCAGCAAGAAGCCTACAAGGCCGTTGCAGACGATGGCAATGAGGGCCCCCTGAGAGATGGCTGCCCCCATGACAGGCAGCACCCTCAGACCAGCACAGACCACGGGGCTGGCTTGATGGCAAGGCCCATGCCGAGGCAGGACTCCAGTACAGCTGGCCTTCCAAAGAGGCTGTTCTGTCCACACACTCAATGATTCCTGGGCAATGGAGATGTCCACCTGCAGTCTTGAGCCTGTGGCAGGTACACAGCAGAGGAAAGGGTGGTGAGGAAGGGGTAGGGTGAGGCCTAGGAGGAGAGGCCTAAGAGAATCCTGTCCCACATCTCTGGCTTCCCTGGCAGAAGACTTTGGGTCCTGGCAGGCCCAAATAACCCACAGAGCCAACACCCCCATCCTGAGGCTTGGCCCTGGGCACCTGGATGGGGGTGTAGCCACAGTGGGGAAGCTAGAGTAGACAGCCTATATCTCATTCTCCTTAGAACCAATGGGCATGGCCTGGCCCTGCCCACCAAGCTTCCAGCCCTCAAAAGTGCTGTGAGAATGGATGAGATGAGGAAGCCCAAGGCCTTGAAGGATGGGGATTGTGACTAGTGTTGGTGTGGCCTGGGCGCCTCCCCCTTCTCAGGACTCCAGCCAGCCAGCCAGCCAGCCCAGGAGACCTCCAGAGGTGCCAGCTCAGACAGAGGGAACTTTGTGGAGGCCCTGGCAGGCATGTGTGGGTCTGTGTATCCAAGGCTGTATACTGGGGTGTGCCTCTCTGTGGGACTGTCTCTCCAGGTCAGTTGTGTATGTCTGTGTCTGGCTCTTAATCTGTCTTTAGGTTCCCTTGCCTAGATGTGTGCCTCTGCCTCTGTATACCCACCTCTATGTGCAGCTATGTGGCTCTCTTTATATTTGTCTCTGTCTCCATCTCTGAGTGTCTGAGTGTCTCTTTTCTCGCCCAGGCTATCTCTGTGTATCTCTGTATCCGTCTCTGTGTGTATGGGTCTCGTGTCTCTCGGTCTTTCTTCCCGGCTGTGTGTCGCTCTGTCCCCGTGGACGTGTCTCTCTCCCCTTCTCCGTGGGGTCTGTCTCTGTAGTTGTGAGTCTCGTGTGTCTCTTTGTGTCTGTCTCTCCTCCCCCCCCCCCCCCCCCCGCCCCGGCTGTGCCGCTACGTCTCCATGTGGGTCTCGGTCTCTTTATCTCTGTCTCTAGTTCTCGGGGCCCGTGCCCGTGGGGGGAGGGCCCCCTTACCTGAGTTGAGCCCGGTGTGCGCGCCCGCGGGAGGGTCCGGGGCTGCGGGATGCTGGGCGCCGACTGAGACTCAGGAGCCTGCGGGATGGGAGGGGGGGGCTGGAGGCGGGCAGGGGCGATGTCACCTCCCCCGGCCCTCCCCCTCGGCCGCGCAGCCTCCGCCGGCCGCTCCCGCCGCGGCGCGACCGGGGCGGCCTCTGCCGCGGGCGGTCTGCGGCGAGCTGGCACCTCCTCCCCCAGGGGCGGTGCCTCCTCCGCGGCCGCGGAGGCTCGCTAGCTCGCTCGGCGGCGCTCGGGAGGCGGCGGCGGCCCGGGTGCGGGGTTCGGCTAGGCTCGGCTACGTTCGGCTGGGTTCGGCTAGGTTCGACTGGGCTCGGCAGGCAGCAAAAACAGCGGAGAACCTCGCTTCCTGAGAGGCCGGCGCTGGCGGCCTGTGGAGGGCGGAGCCATCTCCGCGCCACTGCTGTCACCCGATTGGCTGGCTGCGCCAGGCTCCTGGGCGATTGGTCGCGCGCTGGGGTGGGGACTGGCTCAACCCTTGTGCCGGGGTGGGGAGGGGGCGGGAGAAGGACTGAAGGGACTACTTGGTCTCGATCTCTCCGGGGGAAGGGGGCGGGGATGAAGCCCACCTACTTTTGGGAATTTCTTGCACCTTCAACACCCGGAAGAGCTGTACATCCAACATCTGAGAAAAGCCTCTGTACCCTTATACATGAGGAAACTGCCCCTCCATATCTGCCTCTGCCGCGGTCATCTGGAGGAAGGCCTTGGGCCCCCACATCTGGGAGGAGATTGAACCTCCTCATCTGGGAAGCCCCTTGGACTTCTGCACATCCACTCCCACCTGGGGGTGGACTCTGCACCCCCACTTTAGAGGGTTTGTAGGCGGCTTTACATTCCCTGGCCCCAGGAGATGTGAGCAGCTCTGCCAATACAAGTTCTTTGGACATATTTATTGAGTTCCTACCCAGTATTGGTCGGGGGTTCGTGCTTTGCTGCGCTGTGGGAGAGCCTAGGACAGAGAGGAATGCGGTACTCTGAGAGATCGCTCATCCATGGCGGGAATAGGACCAGGCATGACTCTCCATCCTAGAAGCTCCTGACTCTCTCCATCCTAGAGTCTCTCCTAAGAGGTAGATCAACTTGGGCAGGAGCTGTCAGGTAGGCCTTCCTACCCACCTCATACACCAGTGATTTCTAAGTGTTCTGAACTGGACCCTTTTTCCATCCTGCTCTACATATTCTCCATGGATGAGCACAGTCCTAAAACTATACCACGAAGACTCTCAATGCTTCCCAATCCAGCTTTATCTCTGGAATTCTAGACATAGATCGAAGTGCCTTCCAGAATAAGGGTGGTGTTGATTCCTGGTTCTGCCACTTAACTAATTTCGTGACCTGGAGCAAGTTACTTAACTCCTTTTTGCCTTAGCTTCTTCATCTGTAAAGTTGTTTTAGTGATAGCTACCGCTCAGGGTTGTAATTCACCAATTCATTTATACTGGACCAGTCACATCTCAGCAAATACCAACTGACATAATTCCAAGGACCATATAGCTAAGAGGCCCCTTTCCTCAATGCCATGAAATTCACACGAGATCCCTATAAATCCAAATGCTATCTTGGAAACCAGTAAGGGAAGGGTAAGATAATCTGAAAGACTGAGTCATCCAAACTTACTGAATTACTTAGAGACTGTCTAAAATGAATTTTTAGACCCTACTGACTTTACCAGAATGGATTTAGTTCCCTTGCCCCTGTTACCCAGCAAGGGTGGGGGCATTGTGAACAAGATCAATTACTTCTAGGAAACAGAGGAGACTTATATTGCACATCTGTCATGTGAGTGAATTTGTGACCCAGCTGCAGGAGTTTGGATTTTATCCTGAAAACAGTGGGGAGCCACTGAAAATTTTTGAGCAGAGGAGTAAATGTGATCATATCCAGAAATTAGAGGGATGATATGGGCTGCTGGGTAGAAGGAGAGATTGAAGGCATTTGACAGTGAAGGCAAAGAGTAATGACAAAGGACTGAAATGATGTAGGGGAAGAAGATTGGAGAGAAAAAGAGAACAATGAGGATATTTAGGAATTACAACTGGCAGGACTACTTAGAGACTTAGACCTACAGGACATGAGGAGTAAGAGGGAGAATAAAGTCTGGGATAACTCCCAGGTTGGTGACTAGGGATATTGTGATGCCATTTACTGAGATAGAAAACACACGAAAAGGGGTGAGTTTCAACAGGGGTTGGGGTGGTGTGGGGGGGGGGGAGATGGAGGATGATGAATTGTTTTAGATATGCTAGATTTGAGGTACCAATTGGACACCTAAGTTGAGATGTCCCATAGACAGTTGGGTAAGCAGGTCTGGGGTTCAGGCCCAAGACATGTTGTGAGTTATCAGAAAATGAGTAGTAGTCAAATCAGAAAAGTGGATGAGCTCACCGAAGAAGAATAAGACCTGGTTCAAAAACAAAAAAACAAAAAACATTTATAATCAGATACTGAAACCTAAAGACAGGAATGCCTCAGGAACAACTGGAACTAATAGTCACAAAAGCCATTAGGTTCTCTCTCCACCTCTCATTTGTTACTTTGTGCCAGTCTCTTTCCTCTGTTCTCCCCTGCCCCTATCATCCTCATCTCCAGACTGGCTTTCAATGCTTTTCTGGTCTACATGGTGAAAAACATCACTTCAGACAGTCACAAAGCTTAAAAATCTTATTGTCTAGGCACTCAACAAGACACTGGTTTCTTTTCCTTGGTTACAGTTTGCAAATTCCTCAGGAAGTACTCTGATTGGCTCAGCTTAGTTAGATGCTTAATTCTAGACCAATCAACTGTGGTCAAGAGATGGATGAGGCTCAGATTGCCTAACATGGCATTGGGGACAGAGGGGTGGTCCTAGGAGAAGACAAAATGCAGACTGGCAGGTGTTTGCCCTAGTCCACCCCTTGTTTGCCCAACACACACACATTTTCTTATATGTATGATTCCAAAAATGTCCCCACCTACATATTCCAGCCATTCCATGATATTTATGCCAGTAAATTCACCTCCTCTCTAGTATAGAGCAGATCAATGACACATCCAGCTACTGTTTCTGGGGTTATATCATAGCACCACTGTTCT